TTGTCAAAGATTTATCCTGGTTCTGCACTCTGGCGTTCCATTTTTGCTCGAAAACTCAAAGACAGTCTTCGCGCTGGACTGATTCCTAGGCGTCAATCCCCCCTGTACAAGTAGTCTTTCCCTCATTTTCTGGGATTTTCTCACTTTTGCGGCTTCACAATAAGTAACGAATGCGATGCTACTCTCATAAGTGGCAGTTCTGACGCCTTCATAGTTGCCCCGCCCACCAAAACTCAAAGGCTATTTTCTGTCACAGTTCAAGTTTTTGCAGTGCGGTTTCCGTTCTTCCCCGCTGTTAGGTGGTGTTAGCATTGACTCCTCTCTTGTTCACTGAGCCAGAGACAGCAGCATATCCCTTTGCTGGCAAACCTCATTTGGGTGTTCTCCATGATTTCCTTCCTGCTTTTTGGTTTCCTGAAGAGTCATTTAGCAACTATTGGTTTGTAATTGAACGCCATTATCCGCAATATACAATCGCGGGGGTTGCATTTATTCATTGAAATCTTGAGTTCATTTTTTTATTCATGGGTTCATGCAAGAGTTGTGAAAAACAGCCTCAGAGGAACCTTGGTGGAATTTACTCTTCCCTTTTCGTGAGACAAAACACGGTTCGAGCAGGGAGGAGATAATTGTGGCAGTGTCATTCATCGTATATAAAATACTAGTTTTCGCATATATGATTTTGTCCTTTGGTAAGATTATGATAACTTACAGAAGTGATTTCTCATGGACAATCGGCGGAGGAGATTCTGGGCCGCGTACAGCACGTTATCGCCACAGAGGCACGACCATTCGTGTGGGTACCAAACAATGTCAGGCAGTTGTAAAGGATATTTTCTGAAACAGTTGTAATCAATGTGATGAAATCAGCTAAGATTTACCGTAAACCTTGTAATATTTACCCGTAAAGCTTTGTACCCTAACTACCACTGTCATATGTTTTTCGCCTTAGTACGCATTTATTGAACACTTCCAATAGCGGTGAAATGCTGCTGCTATCTCGATTGGATTTCATATGCTTCCATCAGTTGAAGTTATGCGTTTGGTTCGATTTAAATCGTGTCGTCACGTCTTTCCCGTCTCGTTGGATTTGATGTCGAGCCATTCGTAAAATTTGGGCAATGTTTTACAGATCATTTTTAAGCTAGGCTACTTCTCACTTCACTTATCAGATTTATAACCTTTGTAGAATGTTTTGATTTATTCACTATTTATCTGTGATTATCAAAGTTGACCGACTCGAGAAGAACTATACAAATTAATCATTTATCAAAAGAATCATTTTACGCATTTTTCCTTCTGGGTTGTGATCATTACTTACAATTTACTATCTCATGACGCCGTATCTTATTCGACTAAGCTGCGTTTCCGGCTCAAGGACTATTCACTGTAACGTGATATGTTCTATCATTATCAATAAATGCGTATTTCCTTGATCCGAAAAACCTTGTTGAGATATCGAATGCTCAATTACTTCTGCCAAACAAGGTTGTTAGATGAACCTTTTTATTGGCCTCTCGTCTTCTTCAGAGGCCTGAAAATGGCTCGAAGCTTTCAATTTGTCACCTACCCGACCAAGCGCCTTCCCCACTCTAGCGTTTCCGACGTCGTGTCCCGAACACCCCGAAGAACCCGGTAATAACTGCGATTTACTCACCGAGGTTCCACCGTGCGGAACCTAGCTAACTGTGTCAGTGGGATAAGTAAGGACGAGTGGGACTTACTAGAGTCACATAAGTCAAAATTGTCATTGTGCACGTCGCCCTTACTGTAGCTCGCACTCTGATACAAACGGCAAGAACTCATTAGTAATTGACGGACATTCGTTTCGGCCGTTCATCCTTGGTTTTCTCGCGAAAATCCAAAATGATTCAGCGGCCTTCCCATAAGAGATCTCTGCCTCCTACCCCAGTATAGTACACTCAACATCGAAGTCGTTCCCGTTATGCTCCTCATTCTTATGCTTGCGAAGAGGGGTAGACATCATATCACGCCTTTTCCCAGCTAGGTATTCCTTGATGAGAGAAGCCCCTTTCTGCTTCCCCGATGTACGTGCTGTTACAAGCCCTGCATTCAAGTTGATAAATTACTCCAGTTTTTCACAATCTCCTACCCTTCCATATGGGCAAATAACGCAGTCTGGTGTCATGCACTGCCTGTCGTACAGTCTGTTGCGAACAAGTTGGCGTTTGATGTTGCTGTTGGGAATATTCACCAAGACAACATCATCCTGTAACTGTGCTCTCACAATACTGCGGTGTATTTCAGTGCTGATGTCATCTGAAATAAAAGGAAGGCGTGTTGTTGAGATACTCAGTATTGGTTACAGGAGATGACTAGACACATTTCGAAATAATTCCGATGGTTTGTGCAAAAAAGCACTGATAGATGTGGCTGTAGTCAGGGTACGGCATCGTTGTGACAATCAACGA